GTTTTAACAATGATAGAGAGACATAGTCTTTTCCAGACAAACAAGAATTGATGGAGTTCATCACCATTAAACTTGTTTTACAAGAAAAGCTTAAAAGAGTTCTTCAAATTTAAACAAAACCTATTCTACACACAAATAAATATCCATATGAAAGCATAAATCTCACTGGTAGAGGTAAATATACATACACAAATACACAGTAATGTAACACTGTAATGGTGCTGCACAAACTAATTTTGGGTGTCATATAAAGTTAAAACACAAAACAATTAAGAATAATTGTGCCACAAAATTTATTAATGGGTATGTAAAATAAAAATAAGAGAACAATGGCTACATGAAAACAAAAATGTGTGTAATATAGTAAAATTACAGTTTTGAATGTGATAAAAAATCAAGTTGTTATAAAAATATATAAATGGTTACAAACAAAAAATAATTGTGCAAGGCTTGTGGTAACTCCAAAAAATTCTGTAATAGATAGACAAAAGACAGAGAGGAACAAAATAACTGCAAAACAACACAATTACCAAATGGCACTGGTAAACCTTTTAAATACCAATGACTTCTTTAAGTTTAAATGAATCAGACTCCTTAGGTAAAAAGCATGGCATCTCTAAATGGATAAAATACAATATTGAGAAATATATGGACTGCCAGAAAATCTTTAGATATGGATATATAGGCTGAAAATGAAGAAATTAGAAAAGATCTCTCATGAAATGGAAACCAAAAAGAAAACACAGCTGTCTGTTTATATCAGACAAAATGGACTTTACTTCAGAATCATCACAGAAAAAAAGGCAGTTATATAAYAAAATCCACATCAACAGGAAGATATAAAATTATTAATATTTATGCACCTAATTAAGACCACCTAAAATATAAAATAAATACAAATAAACCTAAATGRAGAAACTGATGGCAATACAGAAATACTAGAAAAATTTGGTGTTCTGCTTTTAACAATTGATATATAGTTAAATATATAGTTAAAACACAAAACAATTAAGAATGATTGTACTACAACATTTGATTATCTATACAGATAATCAATAAAGAAATAAACAAACACTATAGATCAAATGATCTTAACAAACAATAAAGAATACACATTTTTCTTAAGCTCCCTTATAACATTTTCTAGGTTAGATCACCTATTACATTAAAAAACAAATCTTAACATGGTTGAGAAGTTTAAAATCATACCATTTTTCCCCTAACCAAAATAAAATGAGACAAGGCTTTAATTAAATTAAGAAAACAAGGAAATTCACAAGTAATTGAAAATTTAACAATATTGTCTTAAACAATCACTGGATGAAGAGTTATTCAAAAGAGAAATTAGAAAATAAAAATAAATAAATAAATAAATAAATAAATAAATAAATAAATCTGAACACAAAACATTCCAAAACTTATGAAATACAACAAAAATACAAAAAAAATACTAAAGGGTAAGTTTATAGTAATAAACACATATATTAAAAAGGAAGAGTGATCTGAAGAAAAAAAAAAACTCCTAACTTTACATTTACATTTCAAAGAACTAGAGAAAGAAGAACAAACTAATCTTAAAGTTCGTATAGAGAGGAAAAGAGTAAAAATTAGAGAAGAAAATCATAAATCATAGCAAACCATAGCAGAAATCAATGATTTTTTGAAAAAAGTTTTTTGAAAAAGTCTAAAAAATTGATGAATATTTAAACTAAGAAAAAAAGCGATCTAAATTAATAAATTCAGAAGTTGTTATGGTCTAGGTATGAGGTATTCTACAAAAGTTTCTATTAATGCAGGAATGTTCAGAGTTGAAATGATTATAATATAAGAGCTGCAACTAATCAGTGGATTAATCCAGTGGATAGATTATTAAAAGGGACTGTTGTATTTGGTGGTGACTGTGACAGGTGAGATGTGGCTGGAGGAGGTGGTTCATTGGGGTGCACCCTGGAAAAGTTCATCTTCCCTGAAGCCACTTCCCCTCCCTTTTTGTTTCTGGGGCCACCTTAAGCTGCATAGTGTTCCTATATGTCCTTCTGTCATGATGTTCTGCCTCACATTGGACTCAGAGCAATGGAATTGGTTGACTATGAACTGAGCCTCTGAAACCATATTGCTCAGGTCTGGGCCTGATATGTTATCCACCAGGTATCTACTTGATTCTATATCCTCAGCTCTGAAAGATTATGGTGTTTAATCTCTATTACACAAAAGTTCATAGCCCAAATCTCCAACTTTATACTACATGCAAATTCAAAATCAGAAAATCATCTTAACAGAGAAAGAGGACATGTGCTTGACAGAAGCCCAATTTTGCTGTCTTGCATATGGAAATATAACATGGTTTTACAAAATTATGACTCTAAGGAATTCCAGACGGTCTCACAAGCATCCCACAAAGCCTTCAAAGTCAGCAACATTACTGAAAGAAGGTGGAACAAGATTGTGGAGTACGCCCTAAAATATTAATTTCCCACAGAAACATCTATTTAAGAAACTATCCACATATGATAAACTCTTCGCATGAACTAAGGAAACCAGAAAGTGGGGCTATATAAAGCCCCTTTGGACTCAAAAGATGAGTGGAACTGTGATTGGATGGTATTGAGAATGTTTCTTTATGTCCAAATGCTCCTTCTCCCCAGCCTTCTGTGATACCAAGTGTGAATGAATAGTCCTACTGTACTCATAATATAGGAGTGAGTCAGAAGAGGGCATTTGGCCTCCCCTCCATTTTAGGTTCTTTCCAGGAGACTGGCACTTTTATCAGCAGGTAGGGAGTGTTGTGAACACCAGTGAGATTGAACCATTTGAGGCCTGCTAGTGACAAGGCAGGGAGTGGGGCAAGCAGCAGTACCCCGTGCCCAGAATTTGGCAGCAGCACTCCATCCTCACCAGAGGAGGCACTGCACCAGAGAAACCCTTTGGTCACGTGTAGTTGTAGAAAGCATGGTCCACAGATCCTCTGGAATGGAGAGCCTGGATGCCTTTTCCACACAGCATGGGTCTTCTCTCTGAATCTCCCCATGGGCTCATCCAGGTGGGACACTGAAACAGCAGTTGAACCATTATGAAACTCACATTTAACTTGGACTTTGACTCTCCTCTAAAGAGGAATCAGAAAATAAAAATCAGTCCTCTTAGTATTTCTAACAAGTTTCCTGGAACAGAACATTCACTCTACCCAGAATATGCAGATGAAGAAAAACCAAATTTGTGATACATACATACATAGAAATAGAAATCAACAAGAAATAAAAGCCCAGGAAAGATGGCTTTATCAAGTAGATAAATCAAGGTGCTGATGACTCGTTCAAAAGACAAGAAGATGATTGCCAGACAAGGAATTCAAAGTAGCTGTTTTAAGAAAACTCAGTGAACTTCAAGAAAACAAGGAGAAATAATTCAGAGAATTAAGAGAAAAATTTAGCTAAGATTAAAATAAGAAACAAATTCCAACAGAGAAAAATACGGAGGAGAAAAATATGATAAACAAAATGAAAAGTGTTCTAGAGGGCATTAACATTAGAGTTGATCAAGCAGAAGTAATCAGTGAGCTTGAAGACAGACTATGAACGTGTAGAATGCTTATCTGAAGAAATAATAGCAGAAAACTTTCAAAACTTGGAGGAAAATTCAAATATCAAGGTATAGGAAGGTCAAAGGTCACGAACAAATTCTGCCCAAATAAGCTAGTCTCATGACTATTACAATAAAATTCTCAAGGGTCAAAGAAAAAGAGAGCGCTAAAAGCAATAAAAGAAGTAATTAGTGTAAGTATTCCAATGTACGGAGGTAGACCTCTTAGCAGAAGTCTTACAGCAGGAAAAATTTAAAATGATATATTTAATGTGCTAAGGGGGAAAAAAACTAGCAACCACAAATACTATATCTAGCAAAAATATCTTTAAGAAATATGAGAGAGATAAAGACATTACCAGACAAAGAAAACCTAAGAGAATTCATTGCAATCAGACCTACCTTACAAGAAATTTCCCAAGATGACAATGGATAGTAGTAAGAAAATTTAAAACTTTCTGATGTCTGAGTCATTTCCATGTTTTCCATTGTATGAACGTAAGTTCTATAGAACTTAGAATTCAGTCACAAAATGAGAAACCACGCCCCTGAGACAACCACTAGTTCATAAGTAGAAGGCATAGCTGTCACCATTAGGACTGGAGATCAATGGGAAGAGGTCAGGGATATACAAACTCAGAGCTTTGGGATAGGTTCTATGGTTCTAGGACCCCAACCTCTGAAGACAGGTACAGCCAGCTTGGTGCTGAACCTCTGGAATCTGGTGGAGGGCTCAGAGAACCAGGACTCAGGATTCTGAGGGTAAGTTATTTGGTAGCTTTGCTGTATCTCTGGGACTGATGATAATTTTGCTCCTGGAAATTATTAAATATACCTAGGAATCATGCACAGGCTGAAAGCTACTGCTGCTGTGTAGGTGAAAGCTGTAACCAAGGTGATAAGGATGCAAACCTTAACAGTTCGCACAGGTCTCCCTCTGGTTCCCCCAAGGGCAGAAAGTACTAGGGAGGACTAGGCAAAGAGGTTAGATTGGTGTGTTTCCTCTCTCTATGTGATAGAGCAGAGTGAAAAGGGGAAGGTGATTTAGAGAGACTCCAAGTACACACACACACACACACACACACACACACACACACTCACTCACTCACTCACTCTCATGATTCCATCCACATAGTGGGTTTTTGCTTGGGAAACACAAAGAATGAATTCCATTAAAATTCCTTAAAATGAAAAGTAGAACTATGCTATGAATAACTTACATTTAATAATAGCTAATGTTTATAATTTGGAAACATAATAGAAATCTGGGATTTTCTGGCAGTGGTCTCTGACCCACATAACCACTAAAATTTAATACACCAAAAAGGTCATTAAGGCTTAGGTTTATTTTCTGAAATTGAACATATTTGCTCTTTTTTGTTTTCCTCAGATGAAGTTTGAACACCTTGCTCTTTTGTTTACTAATATTTTTGCATCTTCCAAACTGCCAAAATCCAACAGCTAAATAAAAGGAGAGTAGGAATCCATAAACTTAGTAATAGTGCTTTCTTGGAAATTTCCATCTTTGATACCTTTTTCTGAGGAGGCGGGCCACTATCAACACTCCCTCCGTAGCCTTTTTTCAAGCAGCGGGGTGGAGCCCACTCAGAGTTACAATGGCAGTGATCTTTGTTGTTGCAGACCCCGTTATTATTGCATGTCACTGGTGTACAGTCACTTTCCCAGACGGACCTAAATACACACTTCCGGTCAATGCACACACGTTCTGCACCACACTCTGTGCCATCAGTCACTTCTCCAATATCTGGTATGTTCATCCCAAAATGATAGTCAGTACCCCAGCAGGTCATACCACTTAAATTAGTCGAGTGCACAGTAGAATGATTTCTCAAATAGGGAATGAATAACACATTCTCACACAGAACTCTTCCACAGAGGGCATCTGATATATCACACTTAATATATGCTTGTTTACCAAGACCACAGTTACCAAAACGGTCACCTCGGGTGTTCAGATTCTTGTAGCACCTCTCATTGGCGCTCCTGGCTTCCATGCCAAAAATTTGCTTACACTGTTCATCCCGTATATTACATCTCTTTTCATAGCAGTTGCCACCGTCCATGCAAGAGAACCCATCCTGCACATATACATCTCCTGGACACTCATGTGAAGTTCCATTGCACCACTCTGGAAGATCACATTCATTTTCCTTTTTCCGACACTCTGTGCCTGATGGCAAGAACTGGCAGTCTTTGCAACAAGGCCCAAAAGTACAAACAGCCCCAGCTTCCAGGGTGCAGTTCATCGAACAACAAGGATCTTCTGAACACAATTTCATGGATCCACAGTCACACTCCTCTCCTTCTTCAATAACACCATTCCCACACTGTATCTTTGAGAAGATGGCCTTTGGGTCTGGTGTATCATGTATACAGCTCTTTCTTGAACCAATGTCCCAGTAGCTGGCATAGCTACAGTTGCTAAATTTACTTGAAATAGTTTTTGATGGATACATGACGCATGTCTTCTGCCCACATGTGCATGTGTTTTCATCATGCTTCATACCCAAATTATGACCCAACTCGTGTGCCACAATGTATGCAAAAAAAGAAACCGAGTCACCTTCAAAAGAATCAATTGCACAATTATAGACATTATTACATATTGTTCCAACAAAGGCTAGGCCAAGGAGTTTACCAAATGACTTCTTAATAAAAAGATGTACAGTATCATGGTGAATGCGGGTTTCAAAACTAATTTTCTTCCAAGTGCAAAATTCTGACAGAGTATCGGCCATCGTACTGATAGTTATGGGGTTTTCTTTGTTCCAGACCTCAAGGCCATATAAAATCAAATCAATTTGCAGTGCTTTATAATATTCATTTGCAGCATTTATAACCAAGATTACTTCATCCTCCACATTTGAGATATTGCTTTCCAGATGACGGTATCGTTCATAGTCTACCACAGCTGCCAATTCAATAAGACCCTTGTGAGTCCACCACCTCTCATAGCCACTTTGCTTTAAATTTATAATATCATTCTTGTGAAGAAGCTTCAGTTGTCGTGCTATTTCTGCTTCTGTTAGTCCACATCTTGTGGGTGGGAATCGTGTCTCCTCCCAGTCTATTCTATAAACCAGATGTTCAAATGTGGCAGAAAATCTTTTGGGTTTGATTTCATAAACAGTATCATGGACCACTAGCATTCCTCGAAAGCCCCCAGAACAGGTGCTAAGAGCAACCAGGGATTCTGGGTCCCCTTCCACATAACCATAGTAGTAGCAGTCACTCTGGACAAAAGGCTGTTCCTCCAGCAGAGCTCCCTGGTCTGTGTAGGTGAACACAGAGAAAGGTTTGGACACTAGAAGTTTCTTGGCCTTTATGTGGACAATTTGTCTCTGGCCTCCAAAGCGCAGGGTGTAGGAGAGCCAGTCAGGGGTCCTCATGCCTCTATGGGTGCCAGTTATCTTCAAGGGTATCACTACTTCTGGGGGGCTGTAGTGTTGGGAGTGGCCAATCTGAGACCATCCAGAAAGGAAGAGCAAGATTCCCAGCCAGAATTTCATGACAGCCATCCTCACATGCACCAGGAAGGCCTCACCCACAGCCATCATGGGCTATGACTGGAGGCAATGGGGCAGGGCAGGAGGTGCTGTTGTCCTGTCTCCTTCCTTTGACTTGGTTGCAAGCAGCACTGACCTTTGATAGGATGTCTTCTGGCAGGGTCAATCTGTCAGAGTAGCAGAACTAAAATCAAAAATAGAAAGAAGGGCAGAATTGCACAACTAAATCATGAACAGGCCATGGTAGAGGAAAAGAGCAGAGTATGGGCTAAAATACATTAGCATTTGGTTTAAGGCATGACTTCATATAGTGCGTTGGATTTGCTCTTTAATTTTGGTGAGGCAGATTCACACTGTGGGGTGCAAAGGAAAAACAGTTGGCCAGAGGTTGATAATTATCAAATACAGATGAAGGACGTGTGTGTTCATGATACCATTCTCTAAATATATGTATATTTGGGGACATTTTCACAATAAATATTTGAAACAAAGATGTCTTTTTTTTGTGTGGTGGTGGCAGTGGGGATTGAACCCAGGGCCTTGTGYATGTGAGGCAAGCACTYTACCAACTAAGCTATATCCCCAGACCCAACAAAGGTGTCTTAATGGAAAGATGAGTTTATTTTTTTTAATGAGGGAATATTGACTTATACTATGAACTTGGAATAAATATCCACATTCTTCCTATTTCAAATGAGAAATTATTTTGTCACAGTAAGGAAAGACATGTAAAAAAATACTCACATATATTATTTTTCTGATGGTCCTTCATATGCACTTCCATGTTGCAAATTATGACTTGTCCTATCTCATTTCAATCCTGTCAAATGCAAAGTGTCAAAGTATCAATTATCCTTCAAAAGATCCTATCATAACAGATATCTTCATTCAATAAACCAATATCCAATAGTGGAATTGGAGGTAGGAATGCCTTGGGTTGATATATAGATATATTACTTGAAAATGTTTATATTTAATTATACTATGGAGAAAAATAGTATTTTTCAAAACCTCAGGCACAACAAAATGAAAAGAAAATCAAATTAGCTGGGAGAGTCACACTTGGAGATGGAAACATATTTTACACGTAAAATGCCTTTTTAATAACCCAGTGTAAATATCTATAGTTTTCATGAGATCGTTTACATAATGAGATTAAGAAATACTAAAATAGTTGGGGAAGGAATAGAAKAAAGTGGAATCTGCATTGAGGTATCTAAAACACACTGAGCAAACATCACTTCCCACAGTAGGGAATTCAAGCATGAAAGGGGCCAGATTCAGCACCTGTGCCATTCTGAACCCAGGACACATTCCTCCTTAACTTTTATTTTATCTTGATTTTAAGTTCTTTGACCTTTTCTCTCTAAAATTTTCTCCCATCACTCATGAAATCTTCCTCTAACAAAAAGCAGCAGCAGTCTCTTCTCTGTTAACACTTCTTGATAGAGAGCCCCTTTTTCCTAGTTAATGTTACAAAATTTTGTATCTCAAAAATGTGAAGCCCACCARGGGAGACGTCTTCCTTTCTCAGAATCCCCCTCTGCTATACAGACCAGATATTCAGTCATAACTTGCTTTAGTTGCCAAAGCCACTTCCAAACYGCAAAACTAGCAGCCATCTCCTTCCACCATTATTTACCATTCTTCCTCATTCTTTCAGCAACTTCCCGATCAATCCTGCACAAATAGCAAAGAATTAGGTGTTTGTTTTTCTGCTCTCTTCTCCACCATCTTATCCACATTCTCACTGTTTATCAAGCATATTGACAACCCATGTGTTTGTTTTTTACTGTTACGATTCATCTTCAATGAACTTCAACCATCGACTTATAGCCTGTTTCTGAATCATATTATTACTCTTGACCATCCTCTTATTTGGTAGTAACTCATAACTTTCATTTTTAATTAAAACTTATTCATTAAATTTGTAGACAATTCACGTAACTTTTCTTTCCACATTTTCCCACTTTTCAAGTTTCCATTATTGCCCTTGTTATTCCTGTAGCCTGCCTCTGGACTCCATCAGTTCAATGTCTGTTGACTAAAATGCTCAACCCCATCTAGATTAATACTTCCATCTACTTTCTACACTCTGACAACACACTGCTGGGTGTGCCAATACTACTGGGGAAATAAATCAAGCAGAGTGCATTTAGGAGGAWGTGTAGGAGGGGAAGACACACAAAACTAGAATAAGATAGCCTGATAGCTCAGCCTAAAGGATGAAGTCACGAACAGATATCAATCTTAAGCACTCCTATGCTTCTAATAATTTTCACCTTGTTGTCTCCGTTGTTTGGGTGGGGGGATACCCCCTGGTATTGAATTTAGGGGCACTTGACCACTCAGCCACATCCCCAGCCCTATTTTGTATTATATTTACAGACAGGCTCTCATTGAATTGCTTAGTSCCTCACTTTTGCTGAGGTTGGCTTTGAACTCACAATCCTCCTGCTTCAGCCTCCAGAGCTGCTGGGATCCCGTTGTTTCTTCACTATTCGATGTTCTAAATTTTTTCATGTACACCTAGTACCTTCAGTTGAAAATTGGTATTCTCTTTATTGTTATAAGTTGGTATTATTGATAAATTTCCATCAGGGTAGTTTAAGTTGTAAAACCAAGAATTCTTCATTTAATGCCTATTTAATACAGGATCAGGTAGTTTTCTTCTCTCTCCTTTGTCATTGCAAATGGAAGGCAGGGGACCTGTTTGAAGCTGGAAACTATCCTCATCTTTAAAGTGAGAAGAGCAGAGGAGGCTAACTTCACAGAACACCAAAAGCCCTCAGGAGTAAGTAAAGTCAGTAAAGGAAACATTTGAGGACAACTTTTACAAATCATGAGTAAAATTCTCATCTGTTTCTTTGCTCTCCATGTCTGTCTTTATAAACAGTAATTATTAAGGGGTATAGATTTGTATGGTGATGGAAAATAGTCATTTATTACTTGTGTGCATTGTTGAGAGTGAACYGATGTAAATCTGTCAGAATGCATTCTTAAGACTTCACCTTGTGAACAGGTAATAGGAAGAAAGAGAGAGAGAGAAAAGAATATTTGAGCCAGACAGTCTTTTGACACATTACATTATTTTATACAATGATGCTACAGGCCACAGGTCCTAAAAGAATATAACAGTTTCATTCATAAAAAGTCATAGTGTTATAATAGTACAGATTTCAAAGTAAACTGCCATACACTATCTTTTATAAATTATTTTCCTCTTCCTACAGTTTTGTCAAATTCATGAATCTTTGTGGCCTAATTACCACCTACCCTTTTGTAGCCTAATTCAGTATTTTTCAGARTATAAGTATTATACAATTGAAAGCRATTTAAAAGCRCAAAATAGAGTAGAATAGGAAATAATGAAGAGCATTTTTTTTGCCAGATATTCAAGATCTGAACCAATTTTGTGTATGTGTTGTGTGTGTGAGCATATTTATGTACTAATAATTTGTGATTCTCTACTTGAGAGCTAAATTCTTGAGTGACTTACCTATAGATGAAGCTATAACTCTTGTGATCCTTTCTAATTATGACYCTCTTCATGAATTGTGTGTACCACCCATTTCTTTGAGCAAAGGTTTTTCTTCGAGATCTCACAAGATAAAAAGAATAGAAATCAATTGTTTTTCATTTGATTGAGTTCTAGATTTAGCCGCATAGCAACAAGAATCTCTCAGGCTACAGAACATGGCAACTGGCTAAGAGTCTTCCCCACTGTGACTCCATCATCTCAACCACACTTTCTACTTATTCTTCAATATAAAGAAATTTAATTTCCTTACTCTTATTTAATGTGGTTCAATTCCTGTTCAAWACGAATCATCTGAATTCCTTATCCCCATTCTACAGGTTCCTCATAAACAGCACAATTGTTTTACTTTCTGTGCTTTTGCTCAAACTGTCCCAGATTATTTCTTCAATATTGATCCATATTACAGAACATTTGGAGTATTTCAAGTTCCATAAAAAGTGTTCAAACCCATTTATGACATATTCTAAGGATTCTAGACATCTGTACTCATCTGCATCTTTCAGAGGTAAGTGGATGGCTTTGAGACTGTGTATAGCTGCACATAAATGTGCTTTGTCTATTACAAAGGTTGTTGTCAATAAGGAAAAGCAAAAGCAAAATTTTTWAAAAATAGGAATGAATAACAGAAATGTGAAGATGAATTTTGTGGGTAAAATTGACAAGCTGATAGTGAAAAAAAAATGTCAGTCTGGGACTACTGCACTTAAGTTGGCTGGGGTAAACCTGGAAATAAGGTTATGTATTAAGGCTGGTAATATCTGCAAGTTTGATATCTACCATTGTTTTTCCATTTTCCATCCATCAGTGACCCAATCTGACCTAATGGTTTTAATCTCTGCATTAGTTTGCTAGGACTTCCATCGAAAATACAAAATGAGTGGCATGAATAGCAGAAATTTATTGCCCAACAGTTCTGGAAGCTGGAAGTCCAATATCATGGTGTTCTTGAGGCTATACTTCCTCTGAAGGTTCTAAGGGAAGATTGATTTCAGACTTCTCTCTCAGCTTCTGGTATTTTCCTAGTTTGTGACAACATAATTCTCATCTTCACTTGCTATATTCTGTGTCCAAAATTTTCCCTTTCATAGGGACCACTGCTTACATCAGATGTTAAGTAAAAAGTGGGACAGGAGGCAAAAAAGTTCCCTATATAATGATAAAAAGATCAATCCATCTGGAAGATGTACGAGACTTATTAATTCACCCAACATGAGAGCATACATATACAAAACAAATATTGACAGATCTATAAGAGTGAAATAGCAATACAACGATAGTAGGAGACTTCTATATACCACTTCTAGTAACAGATAAATATGAGTCAATAAGCAAATGACACTATAAATTTGAACAATACTATAGAACAAATTTATAACAATTTATTATATATTTTACAAAAAAAAACTAGGAGAGAGGAATTTGAAGGTTTCCAACACTAAAAATAAGTGTTTAAGGAGATGGAAATGTTAATTATCATGATTAGATCATTATACATTGTAAATGCATA